AAATTAGGATAAATTTAGGATGCCACATTTGTGTATAATGTGAAACTGTAATTAAGACTAAATATGGTTAATAAACCAGCTTCAGCTCCTGGTTTGAGATACTTTAACTAAGTACAATTAGAGTGATGGTACAGGTTCACATAATGAATTAACTATAGTTACATATGAACCAACCCAATGTGTGTGAACTTGAAGCTCTTCAAACGCTTTGGAAAAATGCTATATAAATAGTAAACATTTATATCATGTTCTTCTTTGTCGTTACTGTTTGATTTTTCACTACAGGCTATTATGCACCATGAAGGCCATATGGACGATGGTCTAACATTGTCCAGATCTCAGCATGAAGAGTCACGTACAGCACGAGTAATTCGTAGTACCGTCTTCCTTTTCAATAGGTTCATAAGGTAAATTGGGTGCTGGCTAAAAACTGATTATGGTTAAAATTAACCTTGGCAGAGATGGAATATGAACAACAATTAGAACTGAAGAGGGAAAATAGGTGCAATATAATCATAAAGGAGAAGAAAGAGCATAAAGGACATGATGACAAGTAAATGTTGCATGTGTATTGGACCTAAGTGAGGTCCTGTTTATGGATCTTCCATTTTAGTCAAAACTCTTATTTTTGTTACAGGCATGCATACTCTGAATTATAAAGCCAGCAAACTGTGGGATAGATGTGTACAAAGTGTCAAACTAAATGTGATGGCACCCCTGTGGCCACCATAAAAATGCTGCCACCATTTTAAAGTTCTTAAAAATGCTGTGAGGGCCAGATCCTGATCAGGCTCACAGCACAGGACACTTGTTCCCTCTTGCACCTTTTCAGGTAATAAAATGGGGGTGGGGTTGCAGCCATTTCAACACTTGATAAGATGTGCGTGTGTGTGTGGGGGAAACAAGAGTGCTTTGCTGTGGCATTTTAAAATGGCAGCAGCCTTCTCATGGTGGCCATGAGGACACCATCACTTCTAATTTGGCCGTAAGGAAAAGAAGGCAGCACCCAAGATAGAGATGCCTACAAAGAGGAAGTAGGATCTTAGTAAAATGCAACACATTTGTATCCTGAATTACAGTACCATTTCAAGGGCCACTTTATCATCCAAACAACCCAAGTGCCTGCTTGGGGACCAAAAGCCCTTGAGGGCACTGTTACACTTACTGGGGCTTTTCTTCCTTTTCTTCCTTTCATCTGGCAGCAACAGGCTGGGGAAGATTGACCTTAAGACATTTCCTGGTGGGTTGATGGCCTCAGCTCCACACGTGGGTTGGGGCTGCCCTTAGCCCTTGCATGGTGAGGGGGAGGCAGCACCCCTTGCTCTTCCACAGCACTTACGTGGCAGGGGAGAGGCAGGATCACATGGTACTCACACGAATGTTGTATGGCACCTGCACAGTGAGGGAGAGGAGGCCCTTGCACAGTCTTCACAGAACAAGATGTTGGTGGGGTTGCTCAGCACTTACATGGTGAGGGAGAGGTGGCACCCACCCAACCCTTGCATGGGTTTTAGGAAAAGTGAGTCAAAGAAGCAAAGAAGTGGCTATGAATAATTTTCATTCTTAGACTGAATTTTGAAGTTTTCCAGGGCTTTCACTAGTAGAGGCTGTCTGTCAGAGATCAAATGCACCACACATTTGTTAATGAAGATAAGGTGAATGACCCAAATTAATTTGAGCCACTGTAGTAAAAGCATCAAAAACGACACTAAAACCATGTAGCAAACTTATGGATTTATTGTTTAAATCATTTTATGGATATGGAGCAGAGGTCCATCAGTGGCTATTAGCCACAAGGTATAGATAGGGACTCTGGGGCAAGTGATGCTCTGTCATCTTGGTGCTTGGGGGGGGTCAACAGTGGGAGGGCTTCTAATGTCCTGGCCCCACTGGTGGACCTCCTGATGGCACTGGTATTTCTGGCCACTGTGGGATACAGAGTGTTGGACTGGATGGGCCTTTGGCCTGATCCAACATTGGCATCTCTTATGTTCTTATGTTCTTATGTTCTTATTTTAGGGGCCTTGATGCTCTCAGCAAGAAAGCAAAGTCTTCCATTGTTGACTTACCCATTGAGTCAGTCAGCCTTAGTCTCCAGGATTTGATTGGTTACTTCCATCCACCTGATGAACATCTAGAACATGAAGAGAAGCAGAACCGACTAAGAGCACTGAAGAATAGGCAGAATCTCTTCCAGGAAGAGGTAGTCATTTTGTTGTTTCTTTTGGTATGTTGCCCTTAAGCTGTAAAAAAATCCACCCCAAATGGCTTACATCATTTTTCTCTCCTCCATTTTATACTCTTAACAGCCCTGTGAGGTAGGTTGGGCTGAGAGTCTGTGACTAGGGATGTGCTGGCTTGGTTTGGTTTTCATTACTGGTTTGGTTTTCAAATCCACTTTTTTCAGGTTCCAGATTTTCACAACCGTTATTTTCAATGGGGTCTGGAGCAGCTATTTTTAAAGACAATGGTACCAAATTTGCACAGAATGTAGTCTTACCTCTAATCTAGAGACTTCCAGTTTTCAAGCAGATTGGACCAAGGGGTCCAATTCTGTGGGCGCCAAACATTCTACTTGCAGAGCTGAGATGAAAAAATGGCCCTGGATAAGGGCTTCGCCCCACAAAGGAGGAAGGAAAGGAAAAGGAGCTAGCCAGAATGGCAGCTCTGCCATTATTCCCTATTGGGGACTTTTTCGGGAGAGCTGGGCTGTTTTTCAACCAAATGACACAAAGCTTGTAGGGGAACTAGAGCTGCCTGTCCACTAAAGACTCCCCAAGTATCTAGCAAAGTGGATTAAGGGGTCCAATTCTGTGGGCTTTGAACAAAGTGCTCCCAGCCATTTTACTTGCAAAGTAAACAAAACTCCAAGCCAGAGTTACAATGTAACACATAAAGTTCCCAACTCTCTCAAAATGCAACAATCATGAGCTACAATGTAACACTACTAGTTCTGAAGTTCTCAGTATGACAGATCTATATAGGCCCCGATCACACGGGCTGGATATTGCGGGGGGGGGGGCAAGAAGCGGCGCAGCATGGCAAAGAAGCAGTGCAGTGCGATCACACTGGCAATTGCTAGGCACTGCTTCCGTGGCAAATGGGATTCCCCCCCCCCCTCACCACAGTTTGCGCATGTGCCGGTGGGCGTTTGTGCGCATCCTGTGGAGACTTTAAAAAAACACATCCTTTTTGCGAAGGGACATGGGTGGGTGCTGGATGCCACGAGCTACCACCGGAAACGTGATCAGACGCCCGCCCTTGCCCTGCGGTTTTCGTAAACTAGTATCTCAGAGGTACTAGTTTTTTTACGGCGCATCTTCGGCGGGAAGCCTCGGGTTCACCATGGGAGCTCTATGCTTCCCAGATGTTGCTGTTTGATCACGCCCAGAAAATCCGCCTATCTTCCGTCTCTGTAGCGTGGCTAATGCTCCGTGTGACCGCAGCCATAATAGATCAACAACTGGAAGTTATGTAGCGACATATCCTAGGCATATAAATATATTTCTGTCTTCTTTTTCAAAGCTGCATCTCCCTTCCATTGTGGCGATCAAAATTCAAGTCGGAACTAAAATAGAAAGCATACAGAAACATGGACTACTACAATAATAATCTGTTACACAGCACAATCATGTTGTTTTCATAACAAGACATTCTTATCCAATGCTCTAAGAAATCTCTTTCAACCAGTCGCCTCCCAGCTATCAGGTGCTTCACTGCAGCATATCAGCCCTCCTAGAGATATACCCCAGCTAGGTGGAATGTAAATACTCTCATGATTATTTGCAGCTGTGTTCACAGGAATGAGATTGGAATCTTTTCAAATAGGAACAGTTTTTTTGGCTTAACTAGCATATTTATGCCAGCTATCCTACCAAACCAGGAAAGTTGAAGCTGGGATCAACTATGAGGCTTCTTCAGCCGTGTTCCACAGTTTTATATAATTATTTATGAAGAAATCTACTATATTCAACGCTACCTGTACATTGGGCCTTTGCCCTCTTTTATGCTATTTTTTTTGAAGGGAATACTTTTGGCGGAAAGCTTATCTAAATTCAGTGCCAGGCAATCTGTTTTTCATTTATTAACTCTATGACGAGCAACTTTACCATACACTTTCCCTATGCTACACAGAGGAGTAGACATCCTCCCCATATTATTTTTTCTTTTTATCTATTTCTGTTTTGGGAATGTTACTTGTTACCTACAAAGCTCAGTCCATGTACTGGGTACAAACATTTGAAGCTATTTAGTAAGTAAGTTATAGAGATGGGCACGAACTGGTTCATGAGCAAAAATTCAGCATGAACTTGACCCAGTTTGGAGTCCTTGGACTGATATTAAGCAGCTCAGGTCTACAGCTGAGCTGTTAGGTTAAAATAGCTGCCAGCCATTTCAGCCTGACAGTGAATGGGTGCAACCACCTCACTGTTAGGCTGAAATGGCTACGAGCCATTTCACTGGTTGGTTTCACTTCCCCCCCCTGCTTCCAAGTGGGGTGGGTCCACATGTCTGATTTAAATGGCTGGTAGCTATTTAACCCATCAATTTTGCTGCCTACTGCTTTGAAGTGGGGGGAAGAGAAATGGATGGGTTAACACTTCCCAGGTGATCCCCACTTTCTCTCAACCATGGCAAGCCACAGCTGGGAGAAAGGGGGACCTAAACTCACCAGTTCGGTTTGGGGCATTTTTGCTCAGTTTGGTTCAGGGGCTACCCCAAACCCTGAGCCAAATTGGTATTTTTTAGGTTCGTGCCTGTCCCTAGTAAGTATTGGCATAGAATTGAAGCTATTTTTTCTGATATTAGAAGGGGATTCTGGTGTCAGAACAAATGGCAGTTATTGTTAAACACTTTTATTTCTTGCAGGGTATGATCAACTTGGTGCTTGAATGTATCGATCGCTTACATGTATACAGCAGTGCAGCTCACTTTGCTGATGTTGCTGGGAAGGAGGCAGGAGAGACTTGGAAGTCGATTCTAAACTCATTATATGAATTATTAGGTAAGAAATACATTTGAGTAACTTGGATTTAGTAACATCAAAGCATGCACATTGAAAATACCAGAAAGCTGAAAGTTTACATCATTTCTGTTATCAAAGAGTTTTTTAACCAAGGATAACAAAATTATTTGTTTTATTTTATTTTTGAGATTTATATCCTGCCCTACCCCGTGAACAGGCACAGAGGGGCTTACAGTATGTCAAACAGTCAAATAAGATATAAATAATAAACATAATTCTATCAGAGTGAAAATTTAAATAACTGGTTTAAAACTGGCAACTCAGTATTAGTTACATTTTGGTGTGCACTAAGTTCATGCCAGGGAAGGAGGTGGATCATTCTGGTGGAATAGCTTACTTGCTCCTGGTGCCAATGAAAATAAATAGGGCCATGGAACAATTGAAGCGTTTGAAGGGGAGGCCGATATTCTATTTTTTTTTTTGAGGCCGATATTCTTTGACATCCACCTCCTCAACCAAAGGCCTGTCAGAACAGCTCTGTTTTACAGGCCCTGCCATATTGCAACAGATCCTGCAGGACGTGATCACATCTGGGAGCATGTTCCACCAGTCCGGGACCAGGGCTGAAAAGGCCTTGGCCTTGATGAAACATACGACTTTCAGGCCAGGGACTACTAAGCGCCGGTGTTGGTCAGAAGAACGCAAGGCTCTTCAGGGCACATTATTGTTAGAAGGAAAAGTACAAATAATACTTGGATTAAAATACAAAGATTTTCATTTTATATTTTTGTACATCAGTTAAAATAAAATAATATAGGACTTTGATATGTATCATAAGAACATAAGAGACGCCAATGTTGGATCAGGCCAGAGGCCCATCCAGTCCAAAACTCTGTCACACAGTGGCCAAAAATACCAGGGGCCATCAGGAGGTTCATCAGTTCCCCCCCTCCCCAAGGACCAAGAAGACAGAGCATCACTTGCCCCAGAGTTCCTTTCTATACCTTGTTTCTAATAGCCACTGATGGATCCCTGCTCCATATGTTTATTTATTTCCCTCTTGAAACCGTCCATGCTTGTAGCCACCACCACCTCCTGTAGCAGTGAATTCCATGTGTTAATCACTCTTTGGGTGAAGAAGTACTTCCTTTTATCTGTTCTAACCCGACTGCTCAGCAATTTCATTTTATCAGTTAAAATAAAATTATATAGGACTTTGGTGTGTGTGTGTGTGTGTAGGGGACATTGGGGAAGGGGACATTAGCATTTTTTAATTTTTTAATAATATATTTATTAAGTTTTTAAACATAATAGGATAAACATATTAACACAAACTTAGACAACAAATACATGAATTAAATTTTGTATCGTAACACAGTCAAGCCAAAAAAATAGCTGTCAGATCTTACATCATAATACCTACTAACTCCTATACCAAAGTATTTAAAGTATTCCACATTTTAGTACATACTTAGCATTACTTATACTGACTTAACAACACCTGTTTTTAATTGTGCTATTTTTAAAGATTTTTCACATTGATCTTATAAATTAATTTATCAAAGATCAGTGTTGTTCTCCACAATATCTCCATATCACAAACAAAGAGAGAAGAAAAAAACTGTTTACTTTCCTCTTTTCAACAGATCAACCATTCCAAAGTTAAATACACTTTTTTTTTTACTAATATTACCCTTTAGAGGTCCTAAAACTACTTCAATCTCCCAATAGAAATCCCTCTTAACTACTCAAACCCTTGTTTAATTCTTAACTATTTAATACTTTCACTATTATTGCCTTCCTTTTAATTATGAATAGAAATTCAAACATTCAACAAGTAACACCAAACATTTCCCATTATTATTATCTCACCAACTCTTTCTCTCTACCCTTATCCCTAACTTTCCCTGACTATCCCCTTATATTATGGATTCAAACATTTCCAACTACATATAAATCAACTAACACAAAACATAATTTATAATCTAGCTCCTATGAATCAATAGTCTATTTTTTATTTTTATTTATTTATTTATTTTGCACTAACAAGTCAACTTTTCAGTAACATATTCTATTGACAAACATTTTCATACACCACCATCCTTTAAATTTCCCCAAAACTAAAGATCCAGACATTTCAGTCTACTAGCACCAATCCTAACTTATCACCACCTTACTTTATCTATTAACTATTCCATTATAACAAGCATTTAAGGGTCAATTTTTTCCAATTAGACATATATCATCAGCAGCATACATTTCACTCTGTTCATGTAGTTTAACCTGTCTCCTATAAATCAATAGTCTATTTTTTTGAAGTAACATGTCTGCATGTCTTCTTTCTTTAATTGTGTGGACATTTTTTTCTAGTCTCTTTCTTTGAACTTTCAACCATCTCAACTCCAGGTTTTCATTGTCCATCTTTCATTTCCTACCACAATGTTTTTCCCTCTCTTTTTTTCAGTTTTTCTTGACCTATAAAGAAACATCTTTGCACCTTCTTTTTTAGTGTTTCTGTTTTTAAATACAGAGGCTTTGTTGGTTTCTTTCCTTTACTTTAATTGGTGTAACGAGATTCGGGGCATCCTTTCATTTGATAACATCCTATGGTCTCTACGTCCCTCTGAATAAACTGTCCCACGTTTCTCTCTTTCCTTACTTGCAATTGTAAACTATATGTCATTTCTGTTGAATTTACACACACTTCTTTGTTTAGCATGGTTTGAGACTCAATGCACTCTTCGATTTGATCCTCTTTATTTCTAATTGTGAATTATGCATTGTTTCTAAAAAATTTGTGCAGGCTTTTTCAATACCCTTTTGAGTCTGTTCCCTTAAAATCTTCAGGAATTGTTCCACGGACAGATCTCCCACAAGCATATTCTCATCCATTTCCTCCT